TTGTGACGCTATAATAGTTCGACTCGTTTGAAACTGCTACAACGAAAGGTACAGTTGGGTACCTTTAAAGTTAAAAATTGTATTGTCATTATATAAGCGCCGGCGCTTATGGCTGTTCCTCAATTACAAGCGCCACCCCTGAAAAAAATTAACTTATTATAAGCGCATATGCGCTTTTATCCGGGGCCATACGGTACCTGCTGATTGACCTAGGAGAGCCGCCTCGTTCTCCTCCAGTTCTGTACGTAGACAACAAGGTCATGCTGGCCTTGTGTCGGGAGCACAGACTGGAGCACAGAACGAAGCACATTGTTCTCCGCTACTTCCTTGCTCGTGAGCTGCAGCAGCGTGGTCAGCTCCGCCTCACCTACGTGGCCTCTGAGGCCAACACTGCTGATATCTTCACCAAGGCCCTTCCGCCTTGTGATCATCAGCGCTTCTGTACTGTGCTAGGTCTTGTGCCTACTTGGCCTCACTTGCTCACTTCTTGACCTTGCTTGTACTGTCCTCTTTCTATACCTGCACTTGCTTGTTTACGTTTATATATATGATCTTGCATGTGAACTGGCCTTGTGGCCTTGCTCTTGTGCTCGGACTGTGTGGTGACATTGTGATCCACCCTGAGCTTTGCTTTGCTTTGCTTGACTGGTCTTGTGACCCCTTGTTCTCCCCTACTTTGACTATGGGGGTGTGTCAGGCATATATGCTATAGTCTGTGTAGGCTGTAGTGGGGCAGTTCGTATGGGGTACAGCACTTTAGGGTTTACTACTTGTACTCCTCATTCTGCTCAATGCATTGATTCTCGTTCTAACGTTCACACGAAGCAACGGCGAGTCAACCCTCGGAGATTGACCGGTTGCTAGAGGTTACGCGAAAGTCAAAGGTCAGCGACCTTTGACCTGACAAATACAGCGCGACAGCAAGGACATACAACTGACTCGTTACAGAGCAGTTGCCCGAGTCGTCACTGTATCTAACCGCAAGAGCAACAGTAAAGTATTTATAACTGTGTCTTTTCATATTCCCTGTATTCATATATAATCTTGTATCTCTTTGCTTTAATCAACTTACTTTGCCCTCACATACTAGCGCAAGGTGGTTCACAACTCTTTATTAACGCTTCCGCTACTACACCAACTCTACCCAGAGTTCACCCCTGCAAAGATCCTAAGGGCTTTTTCAGCCCAACAACACTCATAGCTTTCGGATACAACACGACGGACATTCTGATTAATACATGTGTAGATAACGAGGGCCTAAGTTGAGACATAGCCTATGCCTAGCCTAGCTACTTAGAACTTCCGACGCAAAATTGGTAGTAGTTCACCCCATCCCAACTTGAAACATCAGTTTGGCCCAAATCGCTTGGACAGAATGAAACGATCGCCTGTGCAATGGTCGTGCGGGCTTAGCAATGAGAAGTGCGACGCCACACATCAGGAAAATGTCTCAATTTTGGCGGGAACCAATCAAAGGTGTTCGATTTGCACGTCCGCAGCGTTTGAAACGGTACAACCGTAATCTCCCGGATAGTAGACCCTAGGGTCTTGTGTAAAATTCATAAAAAAAATAGGGGGGGGTCTTGTCAACGGCACAAGATTGTTTAGTACCCGGGTCTTATTAAATTGATATGATTTTTAAAGGTGTAATCGAGTGCCTCATTGATGAGGATGCTTGACATTTTTTCCCCTGTTGTTTGGGCCGCACATGTGTGCGACTTCTGCGATGTAGCCATATCACACAAAGGAATCAGCTTGTGGCCTTCTCATTGGCCGAAATCGCACGTTACCACATTCCAGCATTGAGATTCGCTTTGTGGCTCGTCAGCGTGCCATCCCACCTCGACACCCTGACACATGCACGGCTCGAGCGCAGGGGCTGCACGATGGCCCGTGCAGCAACCCCTACTGTTCAACGGGAGGCACGTCAATCCTTTCACCCATCACAATCCTTCTCCTCCGCCTGTTTCTTCATCCACGCACGAAACTGATTTCTGCTCGGCAGAGTGGTGCGCTTAGGGCCCGTAGCTCTAGGATGGTCGTCTTAAGATGGCTGGAGGAAGTACTTCGAGCAGTAGCTAGAGGTGTAAGCTATCATTCACGATGGTGACGTCTCCAGATTCAGGGATGTCGCACGCAAGGCGCCCTCGTCCCACTAACGTTAATCGAGCATCGCAAGTACGAGTTTCACCCCGGCCCGTTTTGCCAACAACTTCACCTTCCTCCAGCGATCCTAGCGACAGTTCCCATGGCATTCGCCGACCGCCGCTTCCTAGAGTCGTGATCCCTACTTTTCCGGAGTCTAGTCACCCGCAAGGCATGAAACGAAGGATTCTAGATGCTGCGCCTCCTTCCCCTCGTCATAGGATGACGAAACGCTCTCGTAACGCGTTCACCGCCAAGGAGAAATTGCACTGGCTGGCCATGTTGGAGTCACAGCCTGACCTCAGCATCCGTGGCTTGGCGAAGCTCGCCAAGGTGCAGCCCAAGCAAATCCGCGAGTGGAGGCGACTCAAGGAGCGTCTCGAGGTCGCCGCTGGTTGTCGCCGACGTCTTAACGGTGGAGGGCGTAGGGCGAAGTGGCCCCTGATGGAGAAAGCGGTTTACCGCCAATTCTTGGCGCACCGTGCCAAATGATTGGCGGTGTCGGTGAGCCTTCTCCGCAAATGGGCAACTCAGTACATGAAGCACCGTCAGCCTACCGCCGATTTTCGCGCATCGGCACGTTGGACCTTTCGCTACCGCGTGCGGTGGTCATTAGCGCAACGCGTGAAGACAAAGATGGGGCAAAAACTAGCCGCCGGTGAGCAAGTTGCATGTCACCCCCCCTTGCCGTAACGGTTTACGTAAAATGCTATCTAACACATGTGTCGTTGTGTGTTTAACAGATTGCAAGGGAAAGGTGGAGTCCTTCTGGGAATTCGTCCGCCAGATGCGCATGGTTCATCGCTTTCCCCTCAACCTCATCGTGAACGCTGACCAGACCCCGCTCTGGTTGGAGATGCCGGCAGAACGCACCCTCGAAATGAAAGGCGCCCGCACGGTGCATGTCAGGACGGCGGGGTACGAGAAGGAGCGTGTCACTGTCATGTTGGCAGTGACGGCTGACGGCCTGAAGCTTCCCCCGTATGTCATCTTCAAGCGGAAGACGGTGCCACGAATCGTGGTGCCACCAGGTGAGCCCGATGTGTTTCTGTCGTTGATTCCTTCTGTTCCTCTTGTTTCTCCATTACTGATTTCCAGTTGTGGCGTGTGCAGGTATCGTCATCCGCGCCTAAGAGAAGGGTTGGATGGACGAGCGCCTTGTCCAGGATTGGACAACACAGGTGCTCGTCCCCTTCTTGAAGCCGTTGCGGGACGAGGGCGGGCGGCGCAAGCAAGCGCTCCTTGTCTTCGACTCGTACAAGGGGCACCTGACGGAATCTGTGGGGCAAACTCTGAAGATGTTTAAGGTGACGCGTGCCGTCATCCCTGGCGGTTGCACCCCCCTGGTGCAACCGCTTGACGTCTCCATCAACCGCAGTTTCAAGTGCGGTGTTCGCCACCGCTACAGCACGTGGTTTGAGGAGGTCGGGATCGGCCAAACGACACGTGTAGGTGAGTCGTGGTCGATTTGTGAGCTTTAAGATGACTAGTCAGCATTAACTCCACTGCCTTTACATCTCTGCTGTGCATTCTTCTTGTGAACTCCAGGGAACTTGAAGAAGCCCCCCCCTGAAGTGATCCTGAAGTGGATCGTCGAGTCATGGGCTGATGTGCCAGAGGAGCTGGTGAAGAAAGCTTTCCTCACCTGCGGCATCTCCAGTGCCGAAGACGGGAGCGAGGATCATCTGATCCTGGCTCACCTGCGGGACAAGGCGGAAGTGGAGGTGCTGGAGGATGTGCTGGACGAGGGGGAGGACGGGGTGAACCCCAACCCGTTCTACGAAGACCCCTCGCACGCCCCTGAGCCCGCCGCTACCAAGGACGATGAGGCAGAGGACGAGGAGGAAGGGCTTGCAGGGGAGGAGGATGTGGTGGATGCTGCTGCCGAGGAAGGGGATGTGATGGCTCCGGAGGAGGAGGGGGATGAGGCAGATGCAGAGATGGGAGGTGCGGACGAGTGGAGTGAGGATGGAGACGACTGGTGGGCAGCAGACCGCTATGAGGGAGAGGAAGTGGAGGAGTGGGTTGCAGGCGAGGATGAGTGACTATTTTTATGTTGTTCTCACCCCTTGTTGCCCCCTAAATCTCTGAAATGCAAACCGTGAATAGGTTGCATTGGTGTCAAGCTTTTCTTGCTAGTGAAGCACTTGAAAAGACATCTTATTTCCATTATAAACTAGTGACAACCATGAAGGGGGTCTAGTAATGTTTACCCCTCTAGGGGGGGGTATAGTGAAAACCTGCCAAAATAAAAGACCCACCCCCGTAAAACAGACCCGGGGGTCTTGTATTCCGGGGGGTCTATTATCCGGGAGCTTACGGAAACTTCTCAGTCCGTTTAAACTTTGTTTCGCCCGGCAAACTCGTCCCTGCGCCCTTTCAAGTTGGGTTTGGGTTCACTATTTTGCATCTCGGTTTTAATACCTTCATCAGTAAAGGAGAACATGAGGGCAGCGCAAAGAGGGCGCCCAAAGGGCGTTGTATGAGGTGCTAAACAGGCAAGAACAAACACACTGCACCCAGCTGCCAGAGAATATGCTTACTTTAGTTCAGACTAGCAAGATACCGGTATGATACTAGGATTTAACACAATACATGGGTAACAAGCTTTGAAGCGAGATACGTAATAGAAGCCCATCCCACTTCAGGTAATACGTAATAGAAGCCACTTCCACCATCGACATGGCCATGACTGGTCCTTCTTGGTCTCCTACAAATGGACCCATGCCTGCATGGCACATGCTTTATTCAGATACCTCAGAATGGGTATAAAAATGCAACCAAGCCCATCTTGCCAGATACTCATGATGATGCACGTTTGTGTGCATTCACTGGCCCCCCCCAGCCGCCCTCCCTCAATCCCGCAGTGCTTCATCCAGCACCCACAGCCGCTGCAGCATCATCTCATTCCACACATCGGGCACGCCGGGCAGACAAAAATGTCCGCAGTCCCTCACCCCATTGGGTAGGAGCGCCCATCTGCCCGGATGCCCGTCGCTTCTGAACAGGGTCGGCCGAGCCTGATCCAGCAGCACCACCTTAGCCCCTTGCGTTCTCCCCTCCGCCCTCTCCTTCCCATGCATTCCCGCTACAAGCTTCCTCATCACCCCATTATAAGGCTCCATCGTCATGTAGTTCCTGATAAACCGGTCATTAAGGAACCCCGTGGCGTTCATCGGAGCAGTGTGCGGGCACTCGCTCTTAAAGCCCTGGCCCGTGAAATGGGTTGCCGAATTAGTGGGAATAACGAGCACCTTGCCTCGCATGCGGTCGCTCTTAAAGACCTTCAGTGTCATCTCCCAGGCCTTCTGAAACCCCTCTGCGACGGACAGCTTCTGGTGGGGCGGCGCAAAGCGGAAGCCCGAGCCGTGGATCTTCTGCTCGGTCCACCAGTGACCTGTGGACACGTGGCGGAGATGGGAGACAGGAGGACGAAGTACAGATTGGCAAGGGTCAAATCTCCACACAACATCACACAATGATCAGCAAACAGCATACAGAAGTGGTAGTATGAGGGATTTTCCAGAAGTATTAGACAATGAACGTGATGAGGTTCATATATCATAGGCATAAACTGATTCTTGTTCCTCACCTGTGTTTATAACGAAGATATCGTGTTGATCCAGTCGCCTCATCCATCGCTCGTCCGGCTTGTTTAAGTCCATTACGCCGCCTCCCTTGGGCTTGCTGGGATCGTCCAGCGTCAACTGCACCATGAAATTCGTGCGATAGAACGCGAGGGTGAAGTTACACGACGGCCACACGAACCCGCGTTCCAGCCCGTACGACATGTTGATCCCCGCCAGATCCTCCGGCATCCCGTAGAATCCGTACATGAGACACGCGAGCGACTCGAACGTGTTGCGCGTGACGGAGTCGCCTATGAATGCGATGCTCTTTCCCGCGACGAGGCTGCAGAGGGTGCGCTTCGTCAGCGTGGGAAGCGGGCAGCCCGGTGTCGTCCATCGGACGCGCTCAAACACGCGGTCCGGCCGGCCATTTTTCACGCAGTTTTGATTCGGGTAGATGAATGGACACGTGGCGTCGTACAGCGGCCATGTGGGATCCACCTGCCACGAGCCGCGTTCCATGGAGCAGCTCGTGCGCTCCTTGGGATTGCCGGTGCTACCACCCGCGCCCCCCTGCGACGACCGCTCCAACACCCGCTTCTTCGCGACGGGCGAGACGTCGGTAACCAGATTGTCGTCCAACGGAAGAAGAGCGGGTCCCGTGACGCCCTCCGGCGAAGCGCGTGAGAGCATGACGTCGTCGGCGGCATCCGAGCCATCTACGGCCATACCGTCATCGATGTAAAGCTCGACGCGCCCGACGGCGCTTGGGAGTGGCGGCCGTTGAATCGGCTGCGGCTCGAACACCGCCTGCTCGACCCGCTCGATATTCTTGACCAATCCCGTGATGCCAGCTAGACGCCGCCTCGCGACGTGGTGATGAGAGGAGCCGGAGAGGGTTTCTGTGCGGTCTTGAGTGGATTCGCTGGTGTGCGATGCGGTGAAGGACTCGAGGAAGGAGGTGAGGGAGAAGGGTGTGGATGATGCTTCGGTGAATCTCACGAGCGAAATGACGAGCGCTAGTAGGAGTACTTGTGATGTTAGTACGGCATCGGAACGATGAGAAGCGTGCGCCATTTGTGCGAATTGAAGTAGCTTATCGTAACGCCACTTGAACAGAACTTCTATCCGTGGAAGAGGTATCCTCTCTTCACATTCGGCTACCAGTGACCTCGGGGAACCGACACGTTAATGCTTATCATATAATTATGGAACGGCGTGTTTGGAGCCAGACGCACACTAGCGACCTAATTATTGCGCTGCTTGCTACCAGTTCTGAAAGGAGAACCTGCAATCGGTCCGCAAGATTATTTGAATGAACAATACACGATGTCTTTCAAATCTATGGTGGTTTGCCGACATTGCTTATCATGGTCAGCGGGTTGGGTTGGGGTAATTTTCAGCCCACACTCACTACTATGGCGTGGTGCTATGGTATGGTATGGTATAGTTGGTGTGGGGTGGGGCCAGTTTCCCCCACGCGACAGCTCGATGTGCACATGCGACTCGCAGATCGTGGAACTGGCTGGCTGTACATGCTTGGTTTGGGACATTGGCCAATGGAAGCGCGCCACGGGATCGACATCGAGGTCGAAATAGCTGCGCTCTGATTCGCATGGTTGTGTGGGCGCTGCGCTGGTTCGGCGTGGAGAAGCGAAGCGAGGGTGGGCGAAGACCAACAGGTGTAACAAGAGGGCAGAGTGTGGCTGCGACAGGTAGTGGGTGGTTGGTGGTTGGTAGATGGATTGTTGGTGCGGTGGTGGTGGGATGCGGTGGGGTACGATAACTTAAACTGACCATAGAGAGCATGAACTCGCCATAGAACTATGACAGTAGGTGCTCAATTTAATCTTCTCAGAGTAAATGGTAGATTCACTGCTGTATATATCTAACTGCAGTCAGAGGTCAAGCACCTACTTCTTGCAAAGATTCGACTGGCTGTATATATACATCATTGCACACAGTACACGTACCGTACATGCTCTATTCCCTTGATTTCAGCCATAGCTGGCCCAACAACATCTCGTTCCAAGCATCAGGCACACCAGGCAAGCAATAGTGCCCGCAATCCACCGTACTCGATCCTGTATACACCCCCGGGTGCCCATCCTGCCGCCACACAGACGCCGCATGAATATCCAAAACCATCGCATCCGCCCCCACCCAACCCCTCCTCCCCCTCGCCTTCCTGTACTCCTCCACTGCACCCCTCACCACCGCATTGAACCCATCCATGTGCGAACCCGGGCTTTTAACAATCTGATTTCCATCAAGAGAGGGTTTAAGCAGGGTAGTGTACGAGCACTGGTTAGAGGAAGGTGACTCCTTGTGGCCAGGCACGCTGGTGGTAACCACCACAAGCTTGTTACTGGATTCAGCAGAGGAGAATACAGAGAGTGCGGTGTTAAGGGCGGTGCGATAGGCAGAGAGGAGGGAGGTGGGGGAGGCGAAGGAGGAGTAGGGAGGAGAGAAGGGGATGCCTCCTAGCCAGAGGCGCTGCGGTGACCACCAGTGGGCTGTGAGATACGTGGGGAGGGAGAGAGAAAGAGACACGAGGAGAGAGAGATACGAAGAGAGAGGGACATGGGGAGAGAAACACGGGGACATGGGGAGATGGGTGGGAAAAGGGAATGAGATGGGCTGGAACATAAAGAGAAGGGTATGCCTCCTAACCAGAGGCGCTGGGGGAACCACCAGAGGCGCTGGAGGAACCACCAGTGGGCTGTAGAAAATGTGGGAAGGATAGAGACATGGGAAGACACACAGAAAGAGAAAAAGGGCGAGACACGGAGAGAGAGATGGAGAGAGACGGGGAGAGGTTATGACACGGGCGGCCACCAGTGGGTTGTGGGAAATGTGGAGAGGGAGACATGGGAGAGAAACGGGGAGCAGGATGGGGGGCGAAATGGGGAGAAAGACCGGGAGAGGCATGTGGAGGGAGAGGCATGTGGAGGGAGAGGCATGTGGAGGGAGAGGCATGTGGAGGGAGAGGCATGTGGAGGGAGAGGCATGTGGTGGGAGAGGCATGTGGTGGGAGAGGCATGTGGAGGGAGACGAGGGATGGAAGCATCACGGGCAGGAACATGGTGAGACCGTGGGCGGAAAAAACACAGAAAAAATTCCACATTGTTTAGATTGTCACGTTCCTGAGTAGTCCAGCGCAGTTCAGAAGAAGCTAGCAAGTGGTTTGCAGGTGCCCCTGTCCCTGACAGGGTCTCTGGTTGGCAGAGTGTTTGTCAGGCTACCTGTGTTGATCACGAACACGTCATGCTCTGCCACGTGGCGGCCCCAGTGCATGTCCACGTGGCTCAGGTCCAGCTGGCCGCCCTTGCTGTGCTCGTCTGGCACTGTCAGCGACAGGTTGGCGAGATAGGCGCTCCTGAAGTTGGGAGGTACGAATGGGGGGAGGAAGGGGGAGGAAGGGGGAGGTAGGGAGGAATAGTATGAGCTGATTTTGGAGTTGACTCACCAGTACAAGCCTCACCAGTACAAGCCTCACCCGTACAAGCCTCACCAGTAGAAGGCGATAGTGGTGTTGCAGGCGGGCCAGCGCAGCACCCGCTCCTGCTGCCCCACGCTCACAGGCTCTGGGGAGCCATGGAACCGGTGTAGCAGGCAGATGAGCGACTCGAACATGTTCTCCGTTAACGAATCGCCCACAAACGCGACGCTCCTGTTCGCCACTAACGAGCACAAAGTGTTCCCGTTGAGCTTCGGCGCGGGGCACCGAGGTTGCTTATAACGAAGCCGCTGGTATTGAGTATCCGGCCTGCCGTTTTCCATACACTGATTCCCCGTGTGCCAAATGAGAGGGCAGTCTCCCGCCTTATAAAGAGGCCATTCTGAATCATCCTCCCAGAACCCCTCGTTAGTGTCACATGGCGATTCCACAACCAATCCATCCAACCCCACTTTGACCTCCGTTAGCAAAGGGCCTTGAGTAGTATCCGTGAGCACAGAAGACGCTAATAACGGGGATGAGGCCTCTTTACCGGATCCCATGCCATCCGCGACATAGAGTTCGGCTCTCCCCACGACATTCGCATGCTCTATCGGGTTGTCGCCTGCAGTCGCACGCGAATCCTGCTGCGACGCTGCGACAGTCGGATTCGGCTCTGCTTTCGCGAGGGACCCGGGAATGCGCGGGAATTCGCCAAGCTTCCGCCGAGTTGGTGGCTCGAAAACAGACTCCGCCTGTGCGACGGATCGCGAATGGCGACCTGCTGTGAAACTTTCGTTGGAAAGGAGCCGTCGTTCAATCGGTACGGGCGAGGAAACTGGTCGTGCAAGCGACGATCGTTGCGCTGCAGTTTGTTGCGAGAATAGTAACAAACGAGTTCGGTAATGCTTGAAGGAGAGGAGATTGCGTGATTTACGGCCTGTGCTAGATGGACGGTGGAGATTTGACGAGGAGATTGCGACGAGATGGGTAAGCAGTAGTAACGCGAGGAGGAGAGAAGAGCGACCCATTCTGCTGCTTAAACGGGGTAGCTTAGTAACGAGAACAAAAAAGGTCCGCTCCAATTGTTCACCACACTAAACAACTCCGTACCAACTCTGAAACATAAGGCACAGGCTTGTTCCACATCATCCCGCAACCTCGCACCGCTTCAGGCGGTTTGGAAGCTTCATTCCACACGCCCCTAGCGCGTCGTCGAGTCATACACTGGGAAACTCAGCTGTGTGACCGCTACTTGCGCGGAGATAAGCGGTTCATATGTCTAGTGGTGATCACAAAGCGACTCGTGTACTAAGGCAGCAGGCGGGGAGGATGCATACTCTCTTGTTGAGCCTCGACAAGAGTCGCATCGTTTCAGTACATGATTTACAGTATACGGTGTATAAGATTTCATTTCCCAGAAGTACGATGGGGGAATTGCTGAAAGTTTGCACCCACCTGGGCAGGTGCCTGTCTACAGTCCACATATCTTCCTCACTCTTTGTTCTTACGTAGAAGTGTAGATTCGCGGGATGCTTCTAGTGAACCCATCCAGAATCGTGGACATATTCCGTTTCGTCAGCCCCCCAAGCCTTTGCGAAAAAATGTAACCCTTCGTGAAAGCGCTCGTCTGAATTCGGATACAGCCTAGCACCACCACACACCTGCTGCTCTGGACCAGAGCAATCCCCCTCCCCATACCATGTCGCTTCGCGGCGCGTGGTGTGGTTGCCGTCATTCAACCGACTAGCGCCGCCGTCTTCAAGCAGTTGCCGTGGTACAGTACCATACCTCACCTTCCTCGTTGGAAAGCGCGCCTTCCTTGCTGTCCCGTCCATGGATGTCATAATAATCTCACTTACCATTTTCGATGCTCTTACCCGTCTCGCTTTCGTGAATCGGCGAGGATTGATTGAACAGCGCGGCAGCGGAAGGGGCGCTAGCCGGGTGGATTGCGAATCGCGCTCCCCTTGCGCTGGCGAATATTAGCGAGTGCGTGACATCCGCGCGTGTTACCGACGGTTAACCCCAGCCGCTGCGGCGCTCTGGCTAGCCGCCGCTGTGCCCAATGGTTTCCCAGTAGATTAAGGGAGATTCGGTGTTAGGAAGCGCGTCGCAGGCGCTCGTCGTAGCGCGTGTGTAACATCTTCCGCGGCCCCGTTTGCCTTTCACGTCAGCAACTTCTCTTTACGCCGCCTCGAGAACGCTCCGTATAAGCACCTCGTCGCACACGAACTGTAGCGAAGAAGCGAATCATAATCGAGTAACCATGGACCCTAAATATAGCGAACGTCGCGACTCCATGTTCCGCGTGTCGCCGAAACCGCCAGCCGACCAATGCCAATCTCAAGCAACAGTTACATCGTCATCGCAGCTATTCGTCAAGGGTTCGCCGAAGTCGTTAGGCCGAACCGCTGTCGCAAGCTGCGTATCCCTTCCCCGTCTCTTCGCTCTTCTCGTCCTTCTAGGGTGCGCCGGATTGTGGCCGGCTTTTCTCCGCACCGCCGCGAATCACGCCGACGATAGTGGCGCTAACAGCGGGGATACCGGCTCAGAGTCGTCGGATAGTCTAGGCACGCCAAGCGGCTTCTTCAGCGTGTTTGGCGGACCGTCCGCGATTCGCGGCGGGTTCTCCGCACGGCAGCTGATGGAGATGACGTCAGAAGGCGTTTTAAGGGGCGGAGGGCGCCGCAAGGGGGGGAACATGCTGACGTTGCGCGATGACGAGACTACAGGGGAAGGGCAAACGGAGAACAGGGAAGGGGGAAGGCAAGAGGGGGAGGGGGGAAGAGAGGAGGGAACGGAAGAATCAGCGAGGGGGAAGGGGGAAGCGGAAGGGGAGCATGCGGAAGAGGCGGAGGAGCGCGCGAACCGCGCTAGCCCGTCTATGACGCCAGGCACAGCGCTCCACACGGTAGTCCGCGCGCGGGGGCGCGGGGCGGGCGAGGGTGTTGCGGCGCCTGGAGCGCTGCGCGCTGCCTCGGGGGGCGAGGGGGAGGCGCGCGGAGCGGAGGGCGCGGGGGAGATGCGCGGAACGGAAGGCGCGGGAAGAGGGGTGGGGTTGGGGGATGTGCTGGGAGAGGGAGGAGAAAGAGGAGGAGAGAGAGGCACAGAGAGCAAGGGGGGAAGCGTGGAGGGAAGAAACGAGGGGGGTGAGGGTAGAGAAATGCGAATAGGGGACAGAGAAAGGGGGGAACGGGGGGAAGGGGAAGGAAGCGGGGAGGGAGGGGAGAAAAGAGAGGGAGGGGTGGGAGGAAAGGAGGGGGGAAGAGAGGGAAGGGAGGGAGGGGAGTGGGGATGGCGATGGGTGGACGAAAAGGACGCATCCTGGCCGCTCTACTCCGCTGCATCCTGTCCGTTCATCTTCCCTGGGCAGAACTGCCGATCCAACGGCCGCAACAACACGAGGTTCGAGCGATACGCGTGGCGACAGGGGGTGGAGCGGAGTGGGGAAGGCCGGGAGGGCTGGGGGGGAGTGGAGGAAGGGGAGGAGGCGGAGGGGAAGGAGCGATCGTGGTGTGATGCGTTGCGGGGCGTGCGGCATGGGAGCGGGGTTGGATCTGCCACACCCGTGACACCCAATGGGATGATGACACGTGTGGCGTATATAGGGGACAGCATGATGCGCAACATGTTTGAGAGCATGGCGTGCATGCTGCATGCGCACCCCCGCTGCGGCGGCAATCCTGAGGTGGTGCGCGCGAATGTGGTGGAGCGGATCATCCGATGGGACACCTGCAACGTTACCCTTGCTAATCTCAGGTAAATCCACTGGTGTGCCACACATGAGCCGGCAATCCCGAGGTGGTGCGGGCGAACGTGGTGGAGCGAATCATCCGATGGGACAAATGCAACGTTACCCTAAGGTAGTTCAAGGGCGCCACTCCGTATCCCTCACCGCTTCACACCCCCCCATACATCGTTCCTCTCTTCCATTTGCCTCCCGCCCCCTTCACACCCCCCCATCGTACCGCACCGCACACTTATTGGCTCAGACCCAACGGACGAGTTCAAGGGCGCCACTCTGTACCTCTCTCGCCCTGCTTCACACCCCCCCATACCGAACACCACCGCTCCCTCCCCCATCCCCCCCCCTCAGGAGCAACTTCCTCATAGAGGTCGCTTTCAACAGCCCCACGGATGAGTTCAAGGGCGCCCCTTCACTGCTCACTAGCTTGACGCACTCCCCCATACCGCGCATCACTCCTCCCTACCCCTCCCTACCCCTCCCTGCCTCTCCCTGCCCCTCCACTCGCCCCTCCTCAGGAGCAACTTCCTCACGGAGATCTCATTCAAGGACCCCACGGACGAGTTCAAGGGCGCCACGCTTCACCTCTCCCGCCCTGACAAGCGGTGGAAGCAGCGGATCAAGAACTACGACGTGTTTGTGATCAACTCAGGTGAGGGAGGTGCTGCTAACTGCGGTGTGTATATGTTTACGCATTTACACAGATTCTTCACTTGCTGCTTTTCTCTTCTCACTCGCCTTCCACTCTACCCTCCCCTCACTCCCTCACTCAACCCTCGCCCAACCCCTTTTTCCCCACCCCTCTCCTTAATTCTGCCCTTCCTCTTTCATCAGGCCACTGGTGGACACGTGGCAAGCTTGCAGAGCGCCACGTCAGCTTCTCCCCACCCCACAAATCCCTTAACGTCCTCTCTGCCTTCCGCCGAGCCATCCGCACCACTCTGCACCGCTTTGCATCGCGCCAGATGGCCAACAAAACCGTCATTATTACCACCTCCTCTCCCAACCATTTTTCCCATAAGCCCTCCTCTCCCCATTCTCGAGACCCCACACTCAGCCCCCACTCCTTTCAGAGTACCGCACTGAACTCCCTAGAATTCCCACTTGGCCAAGACTCTGATGCCTCTAGACACTTAGCTAAGCGACGGAGATTGCTTGAGACAAGCGGTGCAAAGAAGCACTCTAAAAGTAAAAAGAGCAAATCCGTTAAGAAACGGGGGCAGTGCGATGCAGTGGAGCCCGTGGGGGGTGAGGAGGAGGCTTATAACGAGTACGAGGAACAGTGGGAGCGAGTAGAGCGGTTGAATGCAGTGGTGAGGGAGGAGGTGCAGGAGTATCAGAGGATTCAGAGGGAGAGAGAAGAGAAGGGGAGGAAGAGAGTAGGAGAGAGTGAGGCCGGGAACAGGAGGAGGAAATTACTGCAAGTGGCGGGCGATGCAGCAGCAGCAGCAGCAGCAGCAGCAGCAGCGGAGGGGATCAGCACAGGGCAAATTGCAGAGCTAAAGAAAGGCCGGCAATCTCGGCTAAAGGCAGAGCAGGAAGTGTTACTGGATGCAGGGCGAAAAGCAATGCTAAAGGCTGGGCGGGAAGTGTTACTGGATGCAGGGCGGGAGGCCATGCTAACTGCAAACAGCTCGTTGCAAATCGTACGCTTTCCGCGACACGGAGACACCACAGCGTGGGCGATACAGCAGCAGGGAAGGTCAAGACAGCAGCGGGACGAGCAAGGGATGTTGCACGAGGCAGGGTTGGGGGAAGGGGAAGGGTTGCGGCACAAGGGACCGCCAGAGGGAGTGAGAGTGAAGAGCGGAAGGCGAGAGGGAGCGAGGGTGGAGAGGAGAAGACGAGAGGAAGCTAGAGTGGAGAGCAGAAGGCCAGAGGGAGCGCGAGTAGTACTGTTAGAAGTGGCAGTAATGAGTGTGATGCGGCACGACGGGCATCCAGGTGCCTTCTCGGGATTGGCTGGCGGGCAGGCTGACTGCGCCCATTGGTGCTTGCCAGGCGTGCCTGATGCGTGGAACGAGCAGCTGCTAAGGCTCCTGTGCTGAGCTTTAGTAGACTATTGCCAATGTCAACCAGTGTATATCGGATTGCTCAATAGCTGACTGCGCCCACTGCTGCTTGCCGGGTGCGCCTGATGCATGGAATGAGCAGCTGCTAAGGATGCGGTAAAAGTGGAGAATCGATCGCCTCGGATCGTTTTTTGACACGGTTATAAACGGTTGTGTACCTTTCGTATGCAAAACGAGGGTCTTCAGTGCGGTGACTTGATCGATCTCCCCCCAATCTAGCACTTTTACCGCGTCCTAAGGCTCTTGCTGAGTTGGAGAAACACGTACCATAGCAAGCAGTGCGAAAGCATCTTATATGCAAGTGACTCCAATATCTATGCCTGATGCTTGGATGGAATGGAATGGAGTAAGCACACTCAGGGTACTGTAATGAAACCAGCAGCAATAAAAAGCATCCAGTCAGGAACAGAGTACACCGGTGCACACTTCTACAGTGAAGGCGTGCAAAACCAAGCAACAGACACCACTACTGCTTGCTCCATTTCCCATGTTCCCGTGCATTTATACTGTAAGCTCATCAGCTACACTCGTGGCTGAATGTGACACTGCATGTAAGGAATTTTCTCGGCATTCCTTACGGAGCCGACTACATCGCGTACAGCAACAGCCGATTGTTCGCCCGTTACTGCTAACGGAACTTCGCCGACTTCGCGCGCACTGTTTTGCCAAACCTCGCACTGCTGGCATGACCGTATCGGCCTACGCTTCGGGACTAGCCCGAGCCTCGCTCCAGCGTAGCACTAGCAAGCTCGCACGCACCGCGTGTCAGAATGAGGAATGGATGTTGCATTGATGTTGGTTGGGGTACATATGACAAACCCTAACTTCTGTACCCCCTAAGACAAACCTCACTACAGGCTACAACATTTGACACACCCCCATAGCCTAAGTGAGGGGTGTCTAGCAAAAACAAAAAAGAGTACGGTCACAAGACCAGTCCAAAAGAAAACAAAGCTCAGGGTGGATCACAACGTCACCACACACTCTGAGCACAAGCAACAGTGGCCACAAGGCCAGTCCAAGAGATCACAAGTATATATAGTAAATGTACAGACGAAGCAGGCAATAAACTCAAGTCTACGCATGACTAGAACCTGTGTCAACAAGGCCTAACTGCACACAACACCTCTGGTGGTCACAAGGCGGAAGCGCCTTGGTGAAGATGTCTGCAGTGTTGGCCTCGGAATCTACAAACTCGAAGCGAGCCTGTCCACGCCTCTGCAACTCTCGCAGAAGAAAGTACCTGACGTGAATGTGCTTCACTCTGCTCTCCAGTCGCGGCTCACGACAGAGGAGGATCGACGCCTTGTTGTCAGTAAACAAGGTCGGTGCAGAGCTCGGCCGCTCACCAAGGTCGGCGAGCAAGAAGGTCAACCACCGCAACTCCTGTGCCGCCATGGCACCAGCGTAAATCTCAGCCTCAGCTGTAGAGGTCGAGACAGAAGAGGAGCGCGTGGAACGCCAGGAAACAGCTCCAGAACCCAGACTGAAACAGTACCCCTGAGTAGACCTGTGAGTCTCAGCGTCGTCAGCGTAAGAGGAGTCACAGTGACCAGTGAGTACGACAGACTGCTGCCCTCCAAGAACTAGCCCCACGCCTGATGTAGTCGCTAGGTACTTCGCCACCCTCACAGCTGCCGTCCAGTGAACAGGACGGTGTCTCCCTGGCGCAACAAAGCGCGCAAGGATGCTGAGAGGGAAGGCGAGGTCTGGGCGAGTACAAGTCATCAGGTACATGAGGCAACCCACAAGCTCTGCGTAGGGACCACTAGGCTCAAACGGCTCGTCAGGAAAGGGACCAGTGAGTCTGTGGTCAACAGCTAGAGGTGTGCGCTGTACGGTGGAGTGCTGAAGCCCGAACCGCTGAAGCCCGAACCGCTGAAGGACCTGCTGCACCATGTGTGACTGTGAGAGTGTAATGGTGCGAGCGGCTCTGTCCCTGGTGATCTGCAGGCCAAGGTAGTGGCGCAGCTCACCAAGATCAGTGCACGTGTGTCTCTTCTACGGTTCAGACTTCACGTCTGCCAAAGCAACCCTGTCCGGAGTGGCGAAAACGAGGTCGTCGACGTAAACCAGAACAAAGAGCGGTGTGGAGCCACGACGAACGAACAGCGACGGGTCGGCAGAAGACGGCTGGAACCCAAGGTCAGAGAGGGTAGAACGCAGAGTGTCGTGCCACTCACGAGGGGCCTGGCGAAGACCGTAAACAGGTCGCCTCAGCCTCCACTGGGTCCCAGGAGGGAAGGTGCCAGTGAAGGCCGAGGGACGACGCAACCAGACCTCCTCGTGTAGGCTGCCCTGAAGGAAAGCAGTGGAGAAGTCAAGAGAGTGTAACTCGTAGTCTCTCTGTGCTGCTACGTGTAGTAACACCCGAAGAGTGGTCATCTTCGGGGTAGGTGCGAAGGTCTGAAAGAAGTCAACTCCCTCGCGCTGACTGAAACCTCTAGCCACGTAGCGCGCCTTGAAGACCGGGGGAGATCCCGGTGGCCGCTTCACCCTGTAGATCCACATGCCGTCGACTACGTTCGCCCCAGGGGGGGGAACCTCATCGACGTAGGTGCCTGTGGATCTGTAGGAGGCCATCTCTGCGTCCATGGCAGCTCTCCACTGAGAGGCCCAAGGCCCTGACACTGCCTCAGCGTAAGTGCGAGGAGTCGGAATGTCAAGGGCGTCGGGGTCACCCTCAGGGGCGAGGAGCATGGCACAGAGATGAGGGGAAGCGGCCGCCAGGAACTCTAGCTCAAACTGCCTGTCCTCTAGGGCGTCACAGCCAAGGGCAGACACACCCCCGACGGCCAGAGGACTGGTAGGAGGAGCAGCCACAAGCGTGGTGGCGTAGTCAAGGCGGCGGGTAGAGGCAAAGTCAGTAACTGCGGCAGTAAGAGCGGACACAGAGGACACAGAGGCACGAGGGTGAGTAACAAGAGAGGCGAGAACACGAGAGAGAACAGGACGGTACGTGCGGTAGTAGTCAGTGACAGGAGTAGGGAGCGACACAGTGAGGGCCGACTCAGGAGGAGACGGAAGCACAGACTGAGACGGACGAGGTGGACTAGAAAGAAGGAAGGCAGTACGAAGGTCAGTGAAGGGAACAGGAGACGAGGGACGAGCACGAGGGGAGCGACGAGTAGCCCAAGAACGAGACGGAGGAGAAGAGGACAAGGGCGGAGAACTGGGGAAAACAGCGGGGGAGGAGTCAGGAGGAGGAAACGTGGGACCGTAGACAGGAGGAGAGGCGGAGGAGGGAGGAGAAGGGGAGGGGAGACCAAGGATCCGAAGACCCGAGACAGGAGAAGGAAGTGGCTGCTGCTGCTGCGGCTGCGACTGCTGCTGCTGCGGACGCGGCTGCTGCTGGGACTGCTGCTCCTGCGGGTCCAGCTGGTGCTGCTGCTGCTGCTGCTGCTCCTGCGGCTCCAGCTGCTGCTGCTGCTCCTCCAGCCGCTGTAACTCCCTCTCCTCTCTCTCCAACGCCAGCTGCTCGTCACGGGCACGGCGAACACGAGCCTGGTGCCTAGTCGGGTAGGGGTGGGGGGGTGGAGTAGTGTCCGAAGCAGCGGCAGCTCCAGAGTCCACCCCAGAAGAACTAGGCGCACCACCCCCAGAGGCAGCACTAACACCAGCTCCAGACCCAGGCTCACCTGAACCCGAAGGAGGCGCACCCTCACCCCCAGACGCAGCACCCCCAGTGTCCGCGCGGCCAGCACCAGCTCCCGGACGACAAGAGTCCTCTGCACCCACCGGGTCAGCTCCAACTCCAGAACCAGAAACTCCAGCTCCAACCCCAGCTCCAACTCCAGCACCCCCAGAACCAGAAACTCCAGTGCCAACTCCAGCTCCAACTCCAGCTCCAACTCCAGCACCCCCAGAACCAGAAACCGGTACAGGAACAGGCGCCGCACCAACCTCTCGAGAGCTAGCACCAGCGGCACGCTGCGAGGAGGACTGTGGGGAGAGAGGCTGTACCGGAGGGGCTACCAAAGGAGGAGGGGTAGCCTGGGACACACCTGACGGGGC